TTTTTTTTTTTTTTCTTCATTTCGTTCCGTCGATTCGATACGAAAATAACGCAAAACCTGTTATGTCGAATCCATTGACGAAGCTATTATTTTCGAGTGTATCGATGATCGACGAATCAGCCCCTTTAACTTTAGTCTTCCCAGCTGCCGAAACAAATATGCGTCGTGTACTTGTTATTTTTGTATCGAGTCGATTATCATAGAACGATGCGTTCTATTTTGACGCGTCAATCGGTACCTGAAGAAACGTTGAAGCAAGGACTGCGAATAGCAGTTATTTTTAATAGTCGCGGACATATCAGGAGTGGGCATATCCTGAAAATGCTTGGTTGTTCGAAAAGTGATTGTCGAGGATTTAGACGAAGAAGATCGTATGTTTATGCGCGTATGTGCGTGTGTGAAAGAGAAAAAGAGAAAGTAAAACAGTGAGTACGTGAGTAAAAGTATATCGGACTTGTAAGACCGAGAGACGCATTTTTCTTCTTAAAAAGGGTTATTTATTTTAAGTAAAAACAGATATATTATAGATACATAGAAATCCACTTGAATCATCTCTTCCATACTTTTGACTATCGTCAGTGCGAACCACCGTCAGAAAACGTGGCTCGCGCAGACCCTAGATGTACATATTATTACGAGGAAAAAGAGAGAAAGAAATATAATAATACTATTTCAGCGATATTCGTTTCGCAATTTCCAATGATCGGGTCATTATATACAAAAGTGGGATTTTTTCGCTCTTACGATCGTCCGTTCGACATAAGTAAAATACATGGGTGAAACACAGATGACGATGATAATAAGAATTCTAATAATTAAGAATTAATTGACGGTAACGAATGTGAAAGAAAAAGATTTCAGCGAAGCTATATATATATATATAATATATATATATATATTATATATATTGTAAAAAAAATTCCTATATACAAAAATAAAGTTAAGGCTCCAATTTTTACCAAAAACATCTTCGAAGCGTTCTTTATAAAACTGTCGATTTCTACTGACCAACGTTACCAACGCAAATTCGATACACACATTCCACAGAGAATGATGATGATATTATCATCAACGACAACTACGAACAAAAGAAAAAGTCAATGAGAAACCAAAAGTTTGTCAGAATGGAACGTATTTTCAACGAC